TTGACAAACTGATACAGAGTACATATATACGTTACTCAAGGCAAATCTAACCCGGATTTGTCCTTATTCTGGATTTGCTGGTAGTATACAGAAATATTTACAGGGCCACCCTAGTAATTTCCAGCGCTAACCTATTTTCCTAGCTAGAAGCAAACCATGTCCCTCTCATTCTTTTTGATGAGACTTTTTTTTTTCCTAGCTGCTCTGTGATCTGTTTTATTCTAACAGGCTGGGAAAAGCAGGTGGAGGAAAGGGAAAAATATATTTCCAGGTATTGACATACAAATCTGAAAATTATTTACATTTCAACGGAATTGTAAAGGAGATCTAAAAATTGGGTGGTTCTATACAGCAAGAGAGTTCGATTCATCATCTTACAATTCTGCTTTAGATCAGTTTCCTCTCTTTGCATTTGACAGTGTACTTCATAGAATCATAGAATCGTGTAGGTTGGAAAAGACCTTTAAGATCATCGAGTCCAACCGTTAACCTAGCACTGCCAAGTCCACCACTACACCATGTCCCTAAGCACCACATCTACACATCTTTTAAATACCTCGAGGGAGGTATTCTTGTAGAGGTTCTGTTGATAAAAATGTAAAAGAATAATAGCAATGCCGTAACAGTTAAGCACAAACTTACTGTTTCCATTACGAAAGGTTTTGCTCAATTTGAGTTAATTTTAAACCCAGTTAAAATATTAAATTTTATAAATTGTATTTTGCCCAGATGACCTGAATGTTCCACAAAATAATGTTGGTGACTGCACTGTACAGAAAAGTATCTCACTCCACACTAGTGTTGTGAATAGTTGCGAGATAAACGGCTGGATTAATCAAGCAGACATCAAGCACACAAGGCCTAAGCTAACGAGCACATCCTGAGATAGGTAACAACTAGCAGAAACCGGGCAAGGACAACCAGAACTGTAACAAAGGGCGGTGATGAGCCCATTTGTGACCACGTAAGGAAAAGTTCGCCTCCTGCAGAGACCACCAGAGAGCACTAGAAACCACCAGAGACCCCTGTAGAAGCCCCTAAAGGACTCAAAACGCATGCGTGAAAGACTATGCAGGTATTATAATTAGTGCTGGGAAATGTAATGAATATGTATAATTATTCCAAGAAATGTGATGCATATGTATATCAAAGAACCATATAAGGGATGGTTGATGCAACATATGGTGTGCATGCTAAGCGGAGAGATCCCCCATGCACCCGGCGCCGAATAAAGTAATGCCTGCTCTTTAATACACCCCGTGTTAAGGAGTTTCATTCCCGATTTTCGGTGGCATTAGCACTCAACAAGAATTTGTAGTTCCCACTTTGAGGTGGCGATCTGACCCCAACCACTAAGTTTGGAATTTACTTTGATAAAAATGTAACACTTTATGAGACGCAATTTCACAGTGGTGAGGAGACACAAATCACGAGCGTCACAACTTGGAAAACTGCGAGGCTTTCTGGGTTATTTTTTAGCTTTAAGTAACTTCAGGTAAAAAAGTCACACACACACATACGCACTGTGTATTTTGCACAGAAGCGAGCAGGTTAAGTAATTTTTTTCCCTAAAGTGGTAAATCACGTAAAAACCCTAACCAATTCCTTTCTCGCCTCTAGCCTTCCTCTTTAACAGGAGTTACCTCTAGCTGAGGTAAACGTACCATTTTTTCTGAGTGAAGACACGTCCATACAAGTCCTTTACTGGGCAGGAGATAACGAGCAAGTAGCTCCGCAGTTACGTCCGAGGACAGAAACGAGGCGGGGGGCCGCTCTCCCCGTAAAAACCGCCTTTGCCCCCCGCTGTTCTCGCGCTCTCACCACCCGAGAACAGAAGAAACGCTTCCCTTTCCCGCTACCACCCAGCTCAC